AGGTCAAACATTTGAGACAGTTGAGCTTGCAGGAGACAGTGAGTTCTATACTCTGTCCAGACTCCAACCTGAAACTGAATACATCGTCACGGTCCTCCCGCTGTATGAGCAAAACACAGAGGGGCCTGGAGCAACAGCCAGATTCAAGATAGGTAAAACTGTTTTCAATTGTTTACCACACTGAGCAGCTCGAAACCCAATGTTCATTGTGCTCTCATCCCATCAAAAAAGCCTTCTTTAAAGATTTTATTGTAAGAAGTCTGAAATATTTAAAACTGGAGCACATGGAGTTCTTAATCTGAACTTTATTTATTTCCATGGAGAAASTAAACACAGAGGCCAAGAAACCACTTGTGCCTTAAACCAGGCTAACACCTCCCCTCTTTGCTCTAATATGTAGGATGTTTCGATTATTTACATGCACTTTTAGCCTAAGAGGAAAATAATTTTAAAAAATATGTTTTTCAATGGAAACCTTTTGTTTAGCTGACATTTTGTAATTCTAGTAAAATAATCTGTTTTGTCTTTCAAAGCACCAAAACAGGAAGCAAAAAAAAAAACAAACAGCACAAACCACTACAGCAATAACTCCCTCGGTTGTTTTCTCTTCAGTAAATCACGCAGATGTGGTTGTTTACATCGGTTTGGAGAACATTTAYATGAACATAYRTGCTTCTTATATGACACAAACAAATGTCTAACTAAAACCCATGGTCGTGTTTGAACACTGAGTCATTGCAAAACTGCTGATCTGAGCTGAAATACTTGGAAAGCTGTAGAACAATTTGTGTTTTTTTTTTCAAGTTCATGTTTGACACACTGTGGAACACAAGAAACTACCCCCCCCCCCAAAAAAAAAAAAACAATGTTAAAATGTAGCTTCATTTAATGAGGACCATTTGGAATGAAGCCMAATTTAAACAGATACAGTAGATGATGCCAGTTTTAGCTGACAAATGAGCAATCGCAATAAAACATAAAAGTGTAATAAAGTGTGCCTGGTAACTGTGTTGTTCAAACAGTGCCTCATATACTGTATGGTTCAGGTACAACATATCACTGAATTACATACAGTTTATTTGTTGTCTTTCCCTCAGAGCGTGAAGAACARCAGGTCCTCAGAGCAGCCACCACCGAACCCTCGTCAATCCGCCTTAACTGGAGACTCATTCGGTCGGCGCAGGGGTACCGCCTGGAGTGGAGGGAGGGGCAAGGTCAGATGAATAAATTATCTAGATACACGTTTGTCATCCATTAAAATCATAAACTCCTAATAATGTTTTAAAATGAAATATTTTATTGTTATAAAAATAATAAAACAAACAATACTCATCTTTTTATTAAAACAAATTTTCCACTTTATTTCTGCAAAATGTTTGAATAATGTAGCAATTCAAATATATTTTTTTAATTTTAAATTTTATATTTTGTAAATAAATTTTATTGTTATATATTATTATAAATTTTACTGTTATTTCACAGGTAGATCCCAGTGAGAKCACAGATCTCTTTTTCAAGGCCGGCCTGGTCCTGAAGACAACCTATTGTACATGTTTTTAGGAAATGAAAGTTGTATTTATTTATTTGTAAATTTAGATATGTTAACACAGATTCACAGCTGAAGAAAGGGTTGACATTCTTTTTGAACTATAGCGTGTAAACATGTCTTGTAATTTACATTTATTCAAGGCAACTTTTTTCAACATCTATTGTAGGGATAAATATGAATCTTGAGCAAAACCGTGCACAATCACCCCTAGAACCTGCTGCCATYACCACATAATCCAGTGAAAACTGATGAAAAGTTAAAAAAGAAATTGCCACAAAGTAGATGTCACTAATAAAGTTTTCTTTTAAATTAGGCTTAACTCCTGTGTTTTCGATAAGACTTTTCATTAAAGTTAATTTAAAGTGACTGATGTGATTGTTGTTTCTACAAAACTACTTGTTTATATTTCAGTTTCTTTTTTGGACTGAAAGAATGTTTTTAACATTTAGATGAGAAATGATGATTTTAAAACCATTTAATCTTGAAGTGTTGTTTGCTCCATCAGGGGGTGCTGTTCAGAGTCTGTCCTTTCCTAGAAGCACCACCAGCTACGAGCTGACAGGCCTTCGCCCACAAACAGAATACGTCTTCACCTTGTACACCCTGTTCGAGGGACGGGAGGTGGCTACGCCTGTCTCCACTGAAGACAAAGGTCAGCCAGAACCTCCAAMCTATTTTCAGATGAACTAATGAGTCATAAAAATGCTCTTATATCATTTGTGCTTCTGAAGGTGATTTGTTTTGGCATAACTTTTTTTTCTGATGTGTTGTTGCAGAGGCCCAGCCTGTAGGAAGCGTGTCCAATCTGAAGGTGGTGGAGACACTGGRCAGTACCGTCAGACTTGGCTGGACGGGCGTAGCTGGAGCCACACAGTACCGAATCATCATCCTGAACACAGATGGTACGTTTTAATCATTGAAACTAGAGTTTATCTTTATTTCTGTGTTACAAAAATGAATAAAACCATCATTGAGACTTTCTTTTCTGCATGTTTATTGTCACGTCAGATGGAACAGAGAAACTCCAAACTATCCCTGGAGACCAGACGACCTTTGACCTCAGAGACTTGATAGTTGGAGTGTCRTATGGCATCAGTGTCACAGCACTGGTGGGAGAGAATGAAGGGGAAGCAGTTACTGTTTACATCAAACCAGGTGAGCAGAGCTACATACAGTAGGCCTGTATTTTCTTTCTTCTATCAATTCCTACATWTAAAAATGTAGACTCTGTGCATGTGCTTGTGTGTTGGTTGGGATTTTAAGGACATGATAAAACACAGACTTTTAAGTATTTCATCTTTAAAAACCTGCCGACCCTTTCTCCATTTTGTTAAAGTACAAACCTGTAAAATGTTTGAAATGCATTTGAAATATTTAAGCAATAGTTATTGTATCATCTTGGGCATTTTGGTGTTTTGTTGCAGAGCAACAAATAGGGAGAGTGACCAGTCTCAGGGTCACAAATGTAAACAGTCGGAGAATTCGAATTGCCTGGGATAGAGTTACCGGAGCTACCGGTTACAGAGTCACCTGGAGACAAGACGAAGGTAAATAAGCAACAATGTTGACTATTTTCAGATGTTTTTTTTTCYTTTTTTYWKTTTTTCAAAAGATTGTGAGATAAAATATTCACCTCCACCTAGTTGAGGAGGTTTTGGACACACAACGTCACTTGTATTTTAGTACTCTCTGTTCTGCTCTACAGAAGCAGAACGATCCCGTCTTCTGGGAGCAGAGGCCACAGCTTTCACCATCGATGGTCTAGATCCGGATGAGGAACTGGTGATTGGTGTTGCAGCTATTGTTGATCAACGTGCTGGAGAAGTGGTCACACTGTCTACACGGACTAACCCCGCCAGTGGAACATTGTCTGGATTTCGCGTCACAGATATCTCGTCACAGAGGATACGTATTGCGTGGTCACTTGTTTCWAGGGCAACAGGATATAAGATCACTTGGCGCAGTGATGATGGTAAAGATGTATATAATCCTTGATGTGTATTCCAAATGCACAAGACTTTGAACGATGAATGTTRAGATATGTCATTCTTGGGCAGGAATTGAAACAACTAGTACCGTAGCTTCCGATGTTTCTTCCTACACAATTGATAGACTTCAGCCGAATTCAGCCTACACTGTCCAAGTTTCTGCACTGACTGGCTCTCGAGAGGGAACCCCTTCTATTCTGAATGTTAGAACAGGTATTTAAAGAATAATCAAATAGTCAATGTTGGTGTTTTCAAGAATATCTCTGCTGTAACTGAGAAATGTTTTTTAAAATTTAATTTAATTYAATTTTTTTGTTCTGACTTGCAGAACCAGACCAGTCAGTTGTTGGGACTGTGACATCTTTGCAAGTCCTGGAGACCCGAGGAGAGGTTGTCCGGGTCACTTGGGTTGGTGTKCAGGGAGCAACAGCTTATCGCATCTCTTGGAGGAGAACAGACGGTTAGTTTTCKTTYAGCTTGAGWATKCAGRGTGRCTKTGGTGKACTGGTTAGGRCAGYTGTCCTGGACCTGGAAGGTYACTGGTTCGATCCCCTGTRCCAGSCGTCTCAGTCRTTGTATCCTTGGGAAAGACACTGYACCCATTTGCCTACTTCTGGTGCTYAGAGTGTCCGGTGGCACMGATGCATCGCAGCCCCGCCTCTGTGTGTCCCAGGGCAGCTGTGGCTACAATGTAGCYTACCATCATCAGTGTGTGGATGGATGAATGTCTGAAGTGTATARYGCCTTGGGGTCCAGGTGGATTTGATAAGGCACWATWCAAGTTCAAGCCATTTACCATTCATTTTGGTGCAGTTCTCACAAAGTTTGTCACTTTCCTTTTTTATTGCAAAACTTCATCCTTCGTCACATCCAAAACTAAATCCCAAACAAAATCTGGTCAACCAATAAGGTGACCTCATCAGCATTTCTGCTTTGAAGCCTTRAAGGTGTCATGTTTCACTACAAATTAATTTTTAAAGTCCTTCTCTAGACTCCCAACATCTCACATAGCAAGCCTCTTCTCTGTCTTATGGTCCTTCTCTTTGTACACCAGTTTCTGTGTACACCACTGAGGGCAAAGGCTAAAGTAAGTTCTCCATAGCTTCCTGTCTGCAAATAAACTGGACCAATCTAAGGTTCCAGAGAGCAACTGATAATCTAAGACTATCAAGATATTTAATGGTTAGGAATCGCTGTTTTTGTAGACAGTGTGTCTTTCTTAACACAACTTCATGTTTTTTTTATTGCTGTAGGTGGTGTAGAGAGGAGCCAGCTGGTGGGTGGAGATGTGTCARCAGTGGATTTGGACCAGCTTGACCCTGGAGTTCAGTATGAGGTGCAGGTCAAGGCTTTAGTTCAAAACAGAGAGGGTACCCCTGTTTCTGTCAGAGTCACCACACGTGAGTCCCGTGTTCCAGTACTCTGCTGCTTCTGCAATAATTCTTCTGATAAACCTCATAAATGATGGACACAATTAAATATTTTGTAATATTTCTCTGTCTTTTTATTTGCACAGCTGGTTATAACACCCCACCTCCCTTACTACCAACCACAACGTTACGGGTGACAGAAGTTAATCAGGAATCTGTGCGGCTTGGCTGGGCTCTTATTCCAGGAACAACAGGGTATATTCTCCATTGGAAAGAGGAGACTGGTGAGCAAAAAAATAAAAATAAAAATAAAAATCTTTAAATTTAGACTCTTGACAGTTTCAAAAATCATATTTATTAATGTTCATCAGATGTTGGTCAAGGATTGTCCGTTAGTCTCCCTCCGTCGTCCAGTTCCTATCTGGTGACCGGTCTGCGTTTGGGCCGTCAGTATAGATTTACCATACAGCCCACGTTTCCCAGCGGAGTGGCAGCAGAGACCTTTGTGGACGAGCGCACTGGTAACTCATCGTCACCTAATCCAACATACTCACTGTGCTCATGCTCACCTGACATTTGCTCGCCTCTCCAAACTGTTTTCTCTGTAGTGTGTCTGGGCGGACGTCTCGACGTGGTGTTTCTGGTGCCTGCATCTACTGATCGGATCGGTCTGGAAAGACCTCTGCGTGACCTCCTCACAAGTGCAGCCGGGTCACTTGCCACCATTGGGCCTCGAGACTCACAAGTATTCTTGATAAATAAGTCCCAAAAATACCACAAGTAGTTACAAAACAGATAGTACTCACATTCACCTTTTACTTTTCTATCAATCTGATCATATGTTGTTATTGTTTTAAGGTAGGGGTTGTAGTTTATGGCTTCAGACCAAAAATATGGTTCCTGCTCAATCGCCACATCAGATCTGACACGCTGCTCCAAGAGATCCAGTCTACACCTTTTGACGAAAGCCCAGGGAATAACATTGGTCAGCCTTTTTTCCCCACACTTCTCTATAACAGTATTATCCGTGGTGCATTGTGGCTGTTGTGACATTAGATGCCTTCTGTTTTAGGTGAGGCAGTGACATTCACTCGTCAGTACCTTCTGACCCCCTCAGCTGGACGGAGACCTCGGGTACCTGGTGCTGTCGTCATCATCGCTGACAGAAAATCTGTCGACAACCTGACCCTCGCAGCCAACAGTCTGAGAACTACAGGTGTGGAGGGGCTGACCAGTCATCGCTGCCATTCTGATTTAAATGTAGACTGATGCAAACTGATGTAACCACCTACTATCACCAAGTCAGTGAAGATGGGCGTGTTTAATTTTAAGCTAGCTGCTAACCAGCTAAAAGGTTGCTAAGGAATGCCTCTGCTCCTATGCATTTGTTATAACCTTCTTGCAAGAGATGCACAGTTTCAGGGTTCCCGCAGATCCTTAAAAAGTCTTAAAAGGCATTGAATTCATCAATCCAAAAATAAGGCATTATTTAGCCTTAAAATGTCTTAAATCAATATTTCACAGGTCTTAAAATGTTAGGTTGTAAGAAGAATGATTGTATTTGTCTCAAATACTAAAAAATTATTAACATTTATTTAGTTTTTAAAAATTATTTGCCAAATTTAMTGCAGCTAGTTGTTTTGTGCTAAAATAAACATTTAGGTAAAATTGTTGCTGTTTTTTTACATTTGTGTTTATTGTGATGTTGGTCTTAAATTTAATTTCAAGTGGCATTAAAAAGCCTTAAAAAGTCTTAGATTTAACTTTCTTTAAGCTGTAGGAACCCAGTTCAACAATACTAAACTGGTTCCTTTTTGTCTAATTTTTTATTTTTTTCTATGACTTGTGAGTTTAGGCTACTTTTATGCTGATGAATGTTTTCAAGCCAATCAAAACCCTGTCTGCACAACACTGTACTGGACAAATTATATCCAACATGTTGGTGTGTGTGTGTGTTTGTGTGTAAGGTGTGACGGTGCTGGCTGTAGCTGTAGACCAAGCAGACACAGAGGAGCTGCGACGGGCCGTGACGGATCGCAGCACCCAGAACATCCTGTATACTCGAGATTCAGCTCAAATGAACACACTGCACGCTGACCTGGCAGACTTACTTTGTGGTATTGCCAGAATACCGGAGGTGAGAAAAAAGTGTGAATTAATGTTTTCAATGCTTTTTTTAAATTAAAGCCATGTCATGGTTTTCCTGTTCTGCTACTTTTTACTTGTTACTTTTCTCTACTGACTCTTTTAAGAAACATCTTAAGACATTTTTATTCAGACAGGCTTTTAGTTAAGTGTTTTTTATTGTGTTTTAATTGTTGTTTTTATCTGTGATCTGTTTTATTGTTTTTAATTATTTTTAATTATTTTTTTGCTTTCTGTGAAGCACTTTGTGATGTTTGTGTCTGTGAAAGGTGCTATAGAAATAAAGTTTACTTACCTACTTACTTACTTACTTACTACTTTTAGGTATCCCCAGGTTCAGACCAATGTACCGTTCAGTGTCCTCAGGTGAGATTAAAAAAAACTTTTTATTCATTTTGCCTTTTCGTTCCTGGAGATTCTAAATTAAAATGTCACTCATGTCTTTCAGGGTGAGAAGGGAGAGCGTGGTGAGAGGGTAGGTTTACATCATCACCATTTTTGATTTGTGCTACCAAGTTGTTTCCAAAAGAAGAATAACTTGCAAATCATTTTCCTTTACTCACAATATTTACCAGTTGCCTGTGTGTGAGCAAGTGTGTTTGAGCGATTGTAAAATATTTTATGAATCAATGTTTCATTGTCTGTAGAACTGATTAAYTAAGTCAACTTGATTCCAGATGGCAGCCAGAGCAAACTGACTTTAGCTAAATTAAATAGCATTTTTAAGTGGTAATTTTTACAGATATAAACCTTATATTTGGTGTGGTAGTAGCTGATAGTCATTCATAATACAAACTTTGAGCACTTACAGCTTTTACAGCATGATAGTTTAAAACATGCAAAATAACCAGGGGATAATGYATGCATTCCTTCAAGAAAAGCTACCTTTAATTACCTTTAATAAAATTTGAAGTAAAGCTGTTGTTTTAGTCCCATATRTTCAATTCAATTYAATTCAGTTTATWTACATAGCACCAAGTCACAACATAYGTTGTCTCRGGGCACTGTACATGAMAAAAGAACAATYTAAAGAAGAAGCCAGCAGATTGTGTTGAATCAYTTCATCACAGTCTCCCATCCTGAGCCAACTGGAGAGGAAAAACTCCCTGCTAATCAGGAAGAAACCTCCAGCAGAACCAGGCTCAGGACAGRYGGCCAAGGAGKATACTCATTTKATGTTTGCTTTACAGTTTTTTAAAACCTATTACTTTCATAAATGTTAAAAAACATTCTTTTTTTTTGTTCCACAGGGGGAGAGGGGCAGGGATGGTGCAGACGGACGCAAGGGGGAGCCTGTGAGTCAGTTTTGGCAGAGATATTGATGATTCTGTGGCATTACATCAAAATGTCCTGTTTTATAAAGATAAATATTAGTGCAAGATAATAATGAGTCCACCAWTGTTTACATGATGAAGGGTCGTGACGGTTTGCCTGGGAGAGARGGTCCCAGAGGTCCTGAAGGACGACCTGGTCCACCAGGACAACCGMTCTCTTTCGACCCCTCCGGGATAAAAGGTGTAAAGGGTGAGAGGGTAAGAAGAGCCTGTATCTTTGCTAATACATAAACTAAGGTGCCTAAATAAAACTAAATCTAGTGATGTGTTTCTGTTTAGGGCTTTCCAGGTGTTGATGGAAATCCAGGATTACCAGGAAGACCAGGTGCTCCTGGAAATGCAGGCGTCCCAGTAAGTAGGGCCACAAGAATCCACAGATTCTTTACACATTTTCAGGATCTTGGATTAGTGTAAAAGTTATRCCATCTCTTTGGCCTTCCTGTAGGGCTCACAAGGCCTCCCTGGAGTCAGAGGAAGCTCAGTGAGTAATCATCTGATCTGTAAACTACCCAGTGGATGCTTAAACACTGATGAGAATTGTTTCTCTTGTTTTAGGGGGAACCAGGTGGACAAGGGCCACCAGGGCTAAAGGGGGATAAAGGTGAACGGGTGAGATAAAACCTTTAAATGTTTGTACAAGTAAGTACTAAGCAGTTTGTGCTGGTTTGAAACTTTTGATGCTTTTTCAGGGTGAACCAGGTTCAGCTATATCTGGCGGGGGTCTTCCAGGAAGGAAAGGAGAGCCAGGCATCCCAGGAATACCGGTACAAAACCAATTCATAAGCAACACGGATAAAATATGCACATTTGGAAAGAAAAGGAATAGGTAACATTTGAAGAATTCTGCAATRCAAACCTTTAGGGTACTCCGGGTCGACCGGGCAGTGACGGGGCCAAAGGATCCCTTGGAGTTCCAGGGACACCAGGTCAGGATGGTCGTCCAGGGATACCAGGAACTCCGGGTGTTTCCATCAAGGTTTGTCTCTGATTATTTCAGTTTGGTAATTAATAAAACTCACAGCAGAGACTGTAAATTTCAAAAAACATATTTACAAATGTACAAAACATAAAAATGTTCTTATAAAACAAATACCTTTTAGATCTCAAATAAGCTCTGCCACTTTATATGGCAATGCAAGTAAAAAAATTACATTTTTAAATACATAATAAAAGTTGTGAAAATCTAGAACGCAGTATATAATTTGTGGTCAAGTAGATTAAAATACATCCTCCCTTTATTTTTTTAACTCAGTTTTTAGGATGAAGTTGTAGTTGTCAGAACTGACCACATGGTGGTAGCATTGAGCTTTCTGCACATCCCTTCAATGAAAGCCCAACAGCTCATGCTTTCATAAAGTCAATCTGAGTTTTGTTTGATTTTAAACTTTTAAAAAGGTTGATTTGATGAATGTTAAAAATTATAAAAAATACTATATATCTGGTTTATATTGCAATATAA